AACAAAGAAGAGAGAACTTACCTAGAAAGGACGCAGGTTTGCGTGAATACCTCTTCCACTGTCATAAGAAAAATCAGGAAAAGTTGCTATGCCCAAGGTGCAGTATCATCTGCAACCCCAAAATTGCTACTGAATTCGAAAGGGCCCAGCGTGAACGAACAGGAGTCAACTCGAGGCAAGACAAACAACTATACAAAGTTTATCCAAAAGCTGATGAAAGTCTGCTCGAATTCCTAGTTCGTTGCCACAAGATTGGAACAAAATGCTTAATATGTCCCAGATGTGCAACAGTGTATGATAAGGAAATGGCTGAAGCATTCGAGAGAATTCCGTTTGCGTCAGGCTGGGGGCACCAAGGCGGAATGCCTTCGAATCTTGTTAGCATAACCAGAAGTTTGCCAAGGAGGCCAGATAGCCCTTATCCCAGGGGAGCAAAAAGAGTTTCCTTTAAACTACCTGTACAAATCCCCACTGACAGATGGCTGCAAGTGAATGCTGATAAGGGAAAAGGAAAGTGGCGTAGTTTCGATCGAGGAGGCAGGACTGCAATGGCTTACAAGAGGCAATTCAATTCAAACAGGAGGGAAAAATAAGATTAGAGAATTATAAAGGCAGAAATAATGTCTCGCTCTCAGTGGCGCAGACACCAGAGAAACCAAAAAGCTGCAAGGGATTCGAAACCTACAGGAGTAGGAGAATCCAGTACCAATAACCCAACATCACTGAACCAGACTGGGGGAAAACCCCCAGTGTCCAGGAAACTTTTTCTCCGCAGAAGGACGCTAAAGAAAATAGGACTCAGAAGGAAGCTGCGAACGAAGAGGACTTGATGACTGATGCCTTCGAATCTGAGGGGGAATCCTTCTTCAATGCAAACTGCAATGTAGTTTCGTTGCTGCCTTGTGAGTACAATCATGAAACAAAGGTTTATGCTGATGAGGAGACTGATGAGGACGAAATGGCCAGACATAGGCCAGTATGCTATTATGTGATGAACAACAAAGTTGAGTATGAAGCATTAATTGCTGGACTTTAAGCTTTTTTAGAGTTGGGGGCAACTAGAGTCAAAATTAGGGGAGACTCAGAGCTGGTCATCAAACAGATAACCAAAGAATACAAATGTATCAAGGAAAATTTGATCATGTACTTCGTTATTGCTAACAAATTACTCAAGAAATTTGAATATGTGGATATAAAACATATTCCCAGAATTGATAATCAGGAGGCAAATGACTTGGCTCAAATAGCTTCAGGATATAAGACATCTAGAGAAAAACTCCAATATCTCATAGAAACAAGAGGTAGAATAATGGCTACCAAATTATCACCATTAGACTTGGAAAATTCGAAACTGGGTTATGCAGATCAGAAAGAATTCGAAGTTCTGAATATTGATACTTTGGCAGATACAAATTGGAGAAGTCCCATAGTAAATTATCTGAAAGAACCTTCAGTAAGTACAGAGAAAAATATCAAATATAGGGCATTGTCTTATGTCCTAATAGGAAATGAACTTTTTAAGAAAACCCCAAAAGGTATATTACTCAAGTGTTTAGGAGAAAATGAGGCATATTTAGCAGTATCCAGTGTGCACAGTGGGGCATGTGGGGCACATCAAGCAGGTCACAAAATGAAATGGTTGTTGTTTCGATATGGAATGTATTGGCCCACTATGCTCAAAGACTACATAGAATTTGCTAAAGGTTGCGAACAATGCCAAGTTCATGCAGGTATTCAACATGCTCCTGCAAGTGAGTTACATTCAATTATTAAGCCTTGGCCTTTTAGAGGATGGGCATTAGATCTAATTGGTGAAATTCGACCAGTATCATCCAAAGGACAGAAATATATCCTTGTGGGTATAGATTATTTTACAAAATGGGTCGAAGCAATTCCTCTAGTGAACGTTGATCAAGAGGTCATTATGGAATTTATCCAGAGAAAAATAATTTACAGGTTCAGAATACCAGAAAGTATCACAACAGATCAAGGTTCAGTTTTCACAGGGCGAAAAATGCAAGAGTTTGCAAAAGAAATGGGATTTAAATTACTAACGTCAACTCCTTACTATGCTCAAGCTAATGGACACGTAGAAGCATCCAATAAAGTCATAATAGGTTTGATAAAGAAACATGTAGGACGAAATCCAAGAAATTGGCACAAAACTTTGGACCAAGCTTTGTGGGCATGTCGAACATCTCCTAAAGAAGCAACGAATACTACTCCGTTTCGACTTACCTTTGGACATGACACAGTGTTGCCAGTCGAAATACACTTACAACCAGTAAGAATCCAAAGACAAAATGAGATACCAACTGATCAATATTGGGAAATGATGATGAATGAATTAGTGGATGTGGATGAAGATAGGCTACATGCTTTAGAAGTTATGAGAAGACAGAAAGAAAGAGTAGCTAGAGCATACAACAAGAGAGTTAAAAGTAAGTTGTTCTCAACCAATGACATGGTATGGAAAGTTATATTACCTATGGATAGAAAGAACAGATTATTAGGTAAATGGTCACCCCATTGGGAGGGTCCCTTTCGAGTTTTGAAAACATTTTCGAATAATGCTTATGAAATAGAAGAATTAGCAGAAGATAGAAGAATCTTGAGGGTAAATGGGAAATACTTAAAAAGGTATAAGCCATGCTTACAAGAGGTTAGAATCACTACAGGATAATAAAAATATATATATAAACATGAAGCCAAAATGGTATTTATAAGTGCCAGAATGGTTATGTTCAATCATTTACAATAAAAAGCATTAACAAAATACATTCAACAATCAGAAAGTAGGACGCTTACTCTGCCATCGTGTACAGTATGGTCATCATGAGTTTTTGATACTCTCGAAATAGACTGGATGAGTCAAAAAACAAGTATTTCCTTATATCTGTCGAAATACATGATCTTGGGGGGCAATTTGTTAGCTGGCTATTTCGAATAAGGAAGAAAATACTATCAAACTAATATTTCGAATAAAGTAGCTAAGGAGATTAATATCAATATTGGATATTGGTGGGAGATATGGAGTCATTATGTTGAAGGATTATTCAATTTCCAGCAGATTTCGATTTGGACTTTTTTAGTGTTCGAATTATAAAGAGCTCCTTTATGCAAGGGTGCCAGAAATTGGAAACGGTCCAGGTAATTGGGTTATTTCGAAAGCGACGAAGGAACAAGATGCTTCGATTGGTACAAATTTCGAATTTCAAATAAAGAGCGCCACTCTAGAAGACGCGTGAAAGTCAACAAACATAGGAAGCCTGCATGCTTCGATCGTGGCGTGATTTTAGAATAGGACCGTTAGGGTCAAGACACTATAAATAGGTGTTCTTATGTTAGATTTAAATATGTTCACTTTTATGTACTAAAAGATCTCAAAATACTCAAACTACCGTGAATTAAGGAAAACGAGTCAGAAGATACAATGTACGTATTGAACATCATTACTTTTTTACAATTTCAATACAAGTCTTGTTATATTTAGTTCGCCATTACAGTATTTATGCCCTTTAAATCCTTCGATTTCCTTGCATTTCCTTGCCCTTTAAATCCTTCGATTTCCTTGCATTTCCTTGTTTTAATTGCACTTTAAACACAATCACTTTGTTAGAAACTTTGCTTTCACTTTATCCTTTTAGTCAAACACTTATCTTTACATTCAAGCTCAAGTCTAATTCGAAGCCTTTCCTGCCTACATTCAGTTAGTTTATTCCTATAGACCATTTTAGAAATCTTTCCTAAGAATCTCATATTCGAACTTAACATACAATATAAGTCTATCAATACAATAGATATGAACATAAAAATGAGTTATGACACATGTGTTCTAGGATCAATCTAGTCGATCATGCAAGTAACCAATAATAATTAGTAAATTGGAAGACTAGCGGTTGTTTACTAGAAATCACTGTAAACACTTATGAGAGCCATTTTAGCGATAGAGCAGGTAGTCAATCACAATTGGTTCAATCTATGATTGAAATTTGACTTTAAATTAGTTGTTTGACGTTCTGTAAACTATCTATTATGCCGTGGAAAATCAGATACATATGAGACAAATGTATGTATCAGATAGGAAATTTTAAATTTTTGGTGAGACATATTTACAAAGAAGAAAATCATTGTATAGATAAACTGACTAACTTACACTTATGAGCTTCTAATTTTACTTGGTGAAATGATATTTATTTGATTGTTGAACCAAATTTCCATAGAAACAAACTAGATCAACCTAAATTTAAAATTAGATAAGTTTGAGATTTTGACTCAATATCTCCTTATTTTTTTAATCATTTTTTCTTTTTAATAAGTTTGAGATTTTGACTCAATATCTCCTTATTATTTTTATATTTTTTTAATTTTTTAATATATTTTATGTTAAAGCCCTTTTCGGTTAAAAAAAAAAAGCATGGTGTATACAAATATTTCCTCTTATTGCATATTCTTAATCTAATCAACAAACCTAACAAAGATTTAAATAATACTACGATTTCCGCATAAACCTAACAAACATAAAAGAAAAAATTTTAATAACCAATTTTTCTACGGCTAAATCCATCACAAAAGGTCTAAAAGTAAAATGAACTACGTGTACGAAAATGCAAAATGTTATTAGTAACTTTTTAAAATATTGTAATTATTTGAAGAAAAAAAACTTTTTTATATAAAGTAATGTATCTAAAAATTTCAAATAGTCAAAGATATTCCGAGAACTATAGTTAATTACCCCAATCTTAGTTAATTACCCCCCAAAAATTGAATTAGACAGAGCTCGAAAACTGCGCAATCTTTCTAGGGTTCTTAACCCTTCACTCCCTGAACGACTCTTCAATTACCACTCTCTTTGCTCATCTTCAGGTATCTTTATCTTTCCAATTCTCTTTCTTGTTCCAATTTCACTTCATTGTCTTGCATGTAACTGTGTATTCTAGAGACTTCACTGTGATTTACTATAATCTTTTAATCTTTTAGGAATAAGCGTTTGTGTGGAAATGGATGCGGAAGAGCATGTGAATGATGTTCCTTCTTCCGTGGGAATTTCTGGTTCTGAAGGTGAAAACAACAGTGTCAAGAACGTGGAAATAAGTGATTCTGTGGATGAGGAGAATAAGCTGGAAGGTGATAATAATTTGTTGAAAGAAAAGAAGGATTTGGAATTGCAAGTGGATTTGGAGTTGGCCGAGACGGTTGTGAAATCGGAGGTGGGAGTAAGCAAAACAGTGCATGCTGCTGAGACTGTTAGCCTTTCTGTTAAAGATGACAGTCCCAATGGAAACATTGAGATCGGTAGAAGAGGTATACTTTCTTTCTGTGAAATTCTGCATAGGCAGACATCTTCCTAGTTCTTCTTTGGTGTATTATGGATTGGGTTTGACAATTACTTTGGAAAAGATGTATCCCTAGATTTCATGTTATCCCTACTGTAGTATGTTTCATTTATTTGACATATAGCTGTTTCAGGTGTTAAAAGAGCCCGGATTACTGTTGACGATGAACATGAACGTCAGCCTTCCGTTCATTTTAGTTACAAGTCCCTGACAAGGTTTGTGTTAGTGTTATTGCCTTTTTCTACAGGTTGCTGCGAAAATATTTAAAGCAAGGGACAATATTGATGCCCCAAAATCAACATTTATATGTTGATTTTTTTTAGAGTTAAAAATATTTGTAGTCCCTATGAAATGATGAGTTTTCAAGTTTAGTCGCTGTTAAATTTTAATTGAAATTTCAGTCCTCCATAATATTGCAATTTGTAAAAATCATTATTTTGAAAACGTTTTATAAAAAATGGATATTTTTAGCCCTCAAAATAGTCCCTAGGAAATGAAATGAAAGTACGGACTAAAAGTGAAAAAGTTATTTTGAGGAAATAAACTCGAAAGCTTATGATTTTGTAGGGACTAAAAATATATTTAACCCCATTATATTACAATAATATCCAACCTTTGCTGTTTGGTTTTCACTTATTGAAATTTGGACTTGTGTTTGAACACTTTTCAGAGCTAGTAAAAAGAAGCTTGAGGAATTACTGCAGCAATGGTCCCACTGGCATGCTAAACATGTTTCCTCATCCAACGTAAGTCCAATTGATTTTAAAATTTTCAGTGAAAGAATATTTCCCTTAGAAGCAAATAAGTAAGTAAATAGAGGATACATAATAAAATAACATGACAAGAAAACATGCAAATACAGTGGAAAACATGAAGACAAGGATTTTAAATAAAGTTGGAGTCTGCAGTTGTTGAACTATAATCCAACTACCTATGATTGACTTCTCTTGAAAAACATTAGTACCCATGATCGACTTTCAGTTTCAAACCATGCATGAAAGATCATTAGATATTTGGTGTATTGTCTAGTCAAATAGGCCCAATTGCGCTATTGAGAGATGCAATTTCGCTGTTTTAGTTATCCACTGAATTATAGAAGTTGAAAATGTTTTTCTCTGCAGGATCCTAGCGAAATGTTGGAATCTGGTGAGGAAACGTTTTTTCCTGCTTTGTGTGTTGGACATGAATCGACATCTTCTGTGGTGCGTATCCTTGGTCCTTGGTCTGTTTTTGGGAACCGCCATAGCTTCAGGCCATGTGCCTTCTAATTCCATTACCTGGAATTTCTTTTTCTATCTCTAGTTTCAAGTATTTAGATTGCTGGAGTTGTATGGACAGTGTTTACAGTATACATTACAGTGTGAAGTATGCATATACTGAATTTTGTAATATTTCCTTCATCTGTTATTAATACTATCGCTTGCTTAACTCTTCTTCAAGTTTGACATGCACTCTATCATTTTAATCATTCTCACATGATATTCATGCTATCTTATTCTAAGTGCCTTCATTTCTACATTCTAATTAATGCATTTTATGAGTTTTTTAGAGTAGTTGTTAGAAGCCTATATGCGTCATAGTTATGCCAATAATCATTACAAGGATAGTACGCATGATATTTTGTGCATGTACTGTCTCCTCTTGAGATTATTTATATCAGAATAAGAAAAGGAAACAGTTGCTGTTCGTGGCATCAAATATATAACTTTCCTCCCATTTATTTAATTTGCAGTCGTTCTGGATGGAGAATCAGACAATGAATGGTGGTAACACAGATGTTAGTCCTATAGATGATAGTTCAGTGCCTCTATATGATCGCGGATATGCTTTGGGATTGATTTCAGCTGATGTTTCAAATAATGCAGACAGGTATGCACATTTACGTTGTATTATTTAAGGATGAAGCTGTGGGTGCACTTCACTTACCTGTTCTAGATGGTATATGTAATCATATGAAGCTTGAAATATTATATGAAATATCATGAAGTGGTATGGCTACTGGAAATATCTATTTTCTATTGATATTGTCACAAACAAGTTATCCTGAAAGCTTAAGCTGTTATTGCAGTTGACTGAGTGTATGAATGATATGTACCCGCTCACACAAGATCCCTCTGGGCTTAAATCTTGGACAATATGCATACTCTAACTTGTGCTGAATTGTTACTTTTATCTAGAAGAACTAGAAGAATGGGGGTAAAAAGGATTGAACTCTAAGCCACAAGGGTTGTCATGAACTTACTATCCAAAAAGCTTTATTATTAGGTAAAAGATAAATGAATGGTTTATATTATATCTCTATCACATGCCCTCATACAAGATCCCTTGGGATCTGAAACATGGACAGTTCAGGCCTACAATGTGGATTGGGCCTAACTCATCCCTTTAGTACCTCTTAGAATGTGGATTGGGCCTAACTCAACCCTACAAAACCGGCTTTTAGGGTGAGGACTACCCCCATTTATAAGCACATGTTCAGGCCATATATTGTCCGATGTGATACTCTTAACACCCCCTCTCACACCCAGGATTGAACGTCTGGAGCGTGGAACTAAATGGTGGGTGCCTTGATAGCGGCCTCATAGTGGAGTTGTCTACAGTGTGGAACTAAATGGTGGGTGGCCTGATAGCGGCCTCATAGTGGAGTTGACCAATAGATCTTAAATCGGGCTCTGATACCATCTTAGAATGTGAGGGGGCCTAACTCATCCCTACAAAACTGGCTTGTAGGGTGAGGATTGCCACCACTTATAAGGACATGTTCAGGCCATATATTGTCCGATGTGGGACTCTTGACAACACCTTTTATTTTGGATAGTTGTGTTGACTATTTTATTAGGATTTTAGAAAGAAAGCTTGTTTTAATTCTTCATGGAAGTGTTAATTCAGGTTCTATAGGATCTGGTAACTAATCCCACATGCTTGTTATTATTAGATATATGGTTATTGTGGGAAAGTGAGAGAGGACATGCATTTAAAAATGGAAGGGAATAATAGAAGGGGTCTGGAAAATTAGTTGTGGCTTGTGGGAGAGGCTAGACATTCAAATTCTCTGGAGACTGTCTTCATTTCTTTATTTTGTCTAAACTGCCAGGACCCAATATCCCTTTTATACATGCTTTAATCTTTTTCTGTTAATGTGGTATTTGACTCTATTTGTTTTTTTTTAAATGGCCAAACTTACAATTCTATGCAAGTCTACCCGAGTTTTAGATTTTGTAACCAGACTGGACCGGACTAGAGTACTAGACCACTAATCACTTCCTGTGGAAGATCCACAGGGAGGTCCAGTGACACTTTATTTATAAATTTGTATGAATTTGCAGCAACTAGGTGGCATATTGTGTTCGAGCAGATAGGGATATAGGCATTATCCATGTTGTTATTATGTGGTTATTGGGGCACCATAATACTGTTGTGTTAAGAGCTCCCAAATATAGTTGTTGGATTATGAATTCTTATGGTGAGATATATTTGCTTCATATTTTGTATGTTTTGTTCTATCTAGTGTCTCAAAGTACCTTTTTTCATGCATCTCTTGTTATGGTGGTATGTTTCTAATTGATATGAAATATGAATAATTGAATTACTCATAAAAGAGTTCCTTTTCATTTACTGTAACTGCTATTGCCACATACCTATTTGGGAACAAATACCTTTCTTGCATCACAGTTTGTGCCTTCTTTGATTTTTTTATTTTTCTAATATTGCAGTGGGCTGGAAATCATAGATGCTCCTTCCAGGTGTTTCAATTGTGGTTCATACAGTCACGCTTTAAGTAAATGTCCAAGGCCTCGTGACCACACCGCTGTCAGTAATGCTCGCGGTAAACTTAAATCCCGACGGAACCAAAATTCTTCTCGTAATCCTACTCGGTATTATCAGAATTCTCGGGCTGGAAAGTATGAAGGTTTGAGGCCAGGCGTTCTTGATGATGCCACACGTCAACTCTTGGGCTTAGGGGTAAGAGTTATTGAAAATGTTGTTTATTTTATGTATTAGAATTTAGAATACATTTTTAATCTTTAGGTCTTGATTGAGAAAGTTGTTTTATAGGAAAAGGAAAGTTGTGAGGTAAAATTTAACCAGGTAACAATACCAATAGGATATCCTTAAAAGTCCAAAGTAGTTAGAATAATGGTATTACTGAAGAACAAATCAACAATGCACCCAAGCTGCACAATCTCTACATATTGGAGATAGCATCTATGTTGAGAGTTGAGACAATGCAGTGCAGAACACTAAAGAGAATCTATGTACAGCACAGCCTGCTGATGTCGTATATATGTAAAATATAGTAGGTTTAGCAGTGTAGTGGCTTATTGTTCAACTGATATTTTGCCATTCTACTACTTTTATCATCAATTTATCTTTAGTAATAAGTTAATAACTGATAACAAGTTAGTAACAAAAAATTTCTTTAAGAAAAGTTAGTTACAAAATTGGCAGAATAGCAATACTGGTTCTATCTTTTTATTTGGGTATTATACAGTCTAAATTTTGATAACTGCTGTAATATGAATTTCATAGTACTAATGAACAGTGAAAGAAGATATATTTTAGATTAATTGATCGAGTCAAATGATTTCTACACATGACAAATACATGCATTCTACTAATTACAAGAGACAATAAATTAATAGAATCATTCCCATGATTACTAAGGTTCCAACACTTCTCGGAGTTAGTTATCTATTTGTTGATGTGTTAATTTCAACAATAACATTTAAACTACTCATCCTCAAGCTGAAGCTTATACATACAAAATATTCAACTTGTTACAGATGTAAGCTATACTTGGTCAGTGGCTTGATAAGGAGATCAGTCAATTGATAATTTGAATCAAGAAAGGAAGTAATAATCTCTCCTAAAATAACTTTTTTTTGGACTAAGGAACTCTCAATCTCAACATGTCTCCCTCAAGCTGAAGCTTATACATACAAAATATTCAACTTGTTACAGATGTAAGCTATACTTGGTCAGTGGCTTGATAAGGAGATCAGCCAATTGATAATTTAAATTAACAAAGGAAGTAATAATCTCTCCTAAAATAACTTTTTTCTCGGACTAAGGAACACTCAATCTCAACATGTCTGGTTCATCCATGGAAGAGGAACACTCAATCTCAACATGTCTGGTTCATCCATGGAAGACTGGATTTGAAGAAGCATGAAGCGTCTGCTTGATTATCTCACTAGCATGATAGGGCCAATTTCACAAAGTTTCAATACCTTCAGTAGTCACTTTTAAGCATGAGTTTACAAGTAGTGAGATTCATGGGAAGCATCTCACCTCAACACAAGATCTAGCAAGAACATTTTAAATATTAGATCCAACCCAATCAACATTAGAATAAGCAATAGTATTCTCACTTTTTTTGCCTTTTCAGTTTCTTATAAATAGTGAAAGAAGATATATTTTGTGATGAATTGCTTGAGTCGTAGTCAATATAAATACATTCAACCTATTTACAAGAGATAATAAATGAATAGAACATTTCCTAGACTACTAAGGTTCAAATGCAAATTGGAACTAGTTTTCTATTTATCAATGTGTTCATTTAAAAAACCGCAACTGTTGTCTTACAACTTTACGTATGGTGGACTATAATTAACTATCGAGTGCAGACTTCCGTGGAAGGATTTATCTTCATAAATTGTTCTTTCTGTGATTATGCAGGAACTTGATCCACCTCCATGGCTTAACAGAATGCGAGAACTAGGATACCCACCAGGATATCTTGGTAAAAAATATTTCTTTGATCTTTAACTATATTTTGTTTGTGTTTTTTTGAATTGGTAAAAAACATTTCTTTGATCTTTAACTATATTTTGTTTGTGTTTTTTTTGAATTATTGATGGAAAGCCAACTTAAAATAATAATGCATAATAAATCCATAAGGCTAAGCTGTTTTTTTGCGAGTTAAAACGAACATGAAACCTTTTGATATGCGAGATAAATTCAAATGGTGGAGTTGTTGTATTTAAATTGCATCTGATAATCTTTTATGGTTCTGAAAAATGTTGATTGCTTCAGAAAGTTATTGAATTAGTCTTTAAATACTAAACAGAGTTGTGTTGTTATTTCTATATTGTTTGCTTTCCTATTTTATTGTTTTTGGTTTATATTTTCCATCTTTATAAATCCATCTCTGCTTTCATTTTTATTATTTGGTTTCGTTATCTTAACTGTATTGGAATTCAGATGCGGATGATGAGGATCAGCCTTCTGGCATAATGATATTCACTGATACGGACATGGCAGAACATGAAGATGGTGAAATCCCTGGAGCAGATTCTTCAAAGCCAAAGCTGAAAATGAGTGTTGAATTTCCAGGAATAAATGCTCCTATTCCAGAAAAAGCCGATGAAAGATTGTGGGCTGCTAGAGCTGTAGTACCCTCATTCTCGTCAGATATATCAAGGAACTGGTCACAGCAGAGATCATCGAGTTTTGGTAGCCGAGGACATCATTGGGAGCAGAGGATAGGCGACTTAAGGGATGATGGTCCTCCAGGAGACCCTGGCCTCAGCTCATCACAATTTAGTTTTCAACCTAGGTTTGGTAGTGGCCATGTTTCTCCGAATTCAATGGCAGAACGGAGTAGTAGAAGAAATCCTTTGCATGAAGAAGAGCCACCAAAGCCTTTTTCATTCCATTCTCAGTATTATTCAACCCCGGAGAGGCATTTTTCTCCATTAGAACGAGATTCTGGTAGCAGACATGGAAGCCGGAGTGCTGGTAGCTTGTATGACAGAGATAGAGACAGAGATCTTTCATCTCGATTTAACGATAGGCGTCCGGATGACCGTCATTATCATAGTCGTAGGTGATAGTTGAAATTGCATTAAACATGACTATGCGTGAGTTCAAATTAGCACTTGTAGAGCAACAAACTTTGATCGACTCAACAGGATAGATATATTCTTTACCGTTTCGCCGCATAGGATAAAGTTTCCAACAAACCAAGCATATTGGTAGGTTATGAAGATACATTTTATCATTTTCAAACATTGGAAATGTTAGGGACATGAGTTGTGCAGAGTTCTAAGCGACTTTTGGTAATTTTGTGTGCACTTTCCTTTTGTGGTTAGTTGCTTACTTAACTCTCATTTGCTTGTGCAATGATGACTCTTTTAAGTATATGATTAGCAGTTTTATATGTTTTGGCCATGTAGTTTTTGAGATATTTTTGCAATAGAATATGATTTTATTTGTGAAAGATGAATTATAACTATGCTGTAGTTTTCTATGCTAGTTAATGTATGTTAGCCTATGTCCTAAAGGAAACTAGTTGAAATACACAAATTGAAAAAAAAACTTTTATTTTTAGACTTTTAATTTTCTTTCTTATATCAAATTCATCATCAATTCTCTATATGTTTTGATAAAAAAAAGGAGGTTGAAGAATTATGTAAAATAAAATTAAAAGAAGAATTTTTTATTTTTTATTTATAATAAAAACTAAAATCAGTCGGAAGAAGATGAAAGAGACTAAAATGATTTATAGTACAAACTACACAATTTAATAGTGTAATTAAACTTTTATTTATTATTCGTAAATATTTTAGGTAAAAGATCTACCAAGATCTTTAGTTTTATGCATGGTTTATGTATATCTATAAAATGATATAATCCTATAATTAAAAATATTTTTTTTTGGACAAAATTAGTTAAATAATCTATGTTTTTTTTTTAGTTTGTATAAATTCCAATAAAAATTTACTTTGTAATGACATGGTTTTGGTATAACTTTTTTCTTTAGAATTTATTTTTTCTTAATTTTTTTATTTATAATTTCATCTTTCTCAGTATAATTAAATAGATGTATTTAATAATAATTTGAATCAAATAATTTTTGATATAATATTAAATTAAATTTTAAGTTTTGTACTAGTATAGAAGTAGAGGTGTGTATAGTATCACTACAAGGGTAGTGGATATTCAGAGGCCTTAGTAGATTTATAATAATTTAGGATAATTATATCTTGCTCTCGACGACGAGAAGGTATGGCGGTGTTATAGTGGTTATTAGAGGATCTGCTCAAGTGAGGTGAGAGGCTCGGTATATTAGTGTAGTTCTTAGGTATGAATGTGTAAGTTATGATCTATTCATTTTCCTGCTAGTGGAAAATTATTTATAGAGGCTCTTGGGCTTAGGGTTTAGGAAACCCTTCGAGTCAATAACTGCTTCCCCTTAACTATAAGAGACTGTTGACTACCTACTTTTCAGGAGGTTGGGGTATGAGCCTTTCTTATATTCTAATATGACTGGTTAAAAGGTACCGATAATATCCAAATCCTCCATCCCAAGGACGAGCCCCCATGCTCTATGAGGATGTTTCCCGAGCGACGTCATCTTAGGCGAGGACCCAATTATCGCCACTGTTTAGGACTATTATAAATATAACACTGCACAGTCTCTCGAGCACGAGGTCTTGTAAATGACAAAATATTTTAAGGCTTCTTTTGGGTCCTGCCCCGTGGCTTGAGGTAAGCTAAGAGACAAATTCAATACTTTGGGGCGTGACCCGAAAATGGGAGGCGAGTCTCTTAGCTTGGAACAAGTCCCTCAGCTTGTGGTGAGTTCCTCAACTTAAGGCTATCATATCCTAATTTTTCCCTTAAAATTCCACCTATCATATCATTTGCATCTCACCAAGATCACAAGCATGACATCCTCATATCCACTGCCTCTTTGGATTTACTTTTTGTGGGATATCACCAAACACTTTTTGTATTTCTTTTTACCTCTATGCTTATTTACATTTCAAATGTTGCTAACCTTATTCAAAATACAAAAATATGTGTTGCTTTCTTTTTTTATTGTGTAATGTAGGGACTTGCAGTCAAAGGATCAAACTTGATTTCTAAATCAGGTTTTGATTCTCAAGGTCAAAGTTTTGGGTCAACAAGTGGTCCACAAAGCTCTTATCTCAAGGCATGACCGATAATCTTAGGCCATATTCATGTCAAGCTTTATTCATTATCATTTGATCAAGAGAAGTTCAAGTTTGATGCATAATTTCAAAGATGATTCAAGTATGACTCATGTGTTTATTTCTATGCCATCTTCATCCATTTCTCAAGCAATCATCAAGATTATTCAAGGGACAATTAAGTTTATTTCATTTGGTATTCAAGTGGTCATCATTGAGCCTTTGGATGCAAGAAAATGTCAAAAATCACAAGTTGATACATGTTTGATTGACCTAAAATCAAGTATGACATGTCATTTGGTCCAAATACCATAACTCTCTCATTTCTGAATATTTTTGAAATCTACTGCCAAATTTCACATTTGAAATCCTCTACAACTTTGCTTCAAGGGTCAAGACTCAATTCAACCTCTAAGTCCATCAATTTTGGAATTTGTCAAGCGGCCATGTATGCACAAAAGTAGGTACAAGACTTGGTCGACCTAATGCCTGACCTGAAATTTTAGGTCATGACCTCAACTTTCCATCAATGTTATTTTCAACTTAAGCATCCTTTTGACTTGGCTCTTTTTGTACTTGATTACTCTCCATGAGAAGATCATTTGGCACAATTTTTTTTTCAAAATGCATGGACAAATTTCATTTGGCCTAAGCTTGAACATGGTGCTCTAAGCTCTGCATTTTTGTGTATGACCCGTAATTAGAAATGACCTAAATTTCACTTGGGACCTCCAAATCACATGCTCATTTGTTTGTCCTTGCAAAACGCGTTTGGTTGAGTGCAAAATGACCTGATTCCATGACCAAGTCAAGCGTTTCATCATCTAACTTCACACGGTTTGCAAATCAGATTTTCACCTTTGGTTCACTCGTTCTAGATCTAAATTGGCACATACCATGACCTCACTTCATTTCCTATAAATAGAGGAGTATTTTGCCTTCATTATAGTCACATAACCTCTACCATTTTTACTCTAAAAAAGCTTTAAAAACCAGAAACCCTTAGTTCGTTTTAAGCTTGTTTTAACTTCAAATCTCTGCCCAAAATCACTCATCGGCATCATCTAAAGCTAATTTAAGTATTATAGAAGTTTAAAACCTCCTGGAACCTTCAACTCAATTTCACCATTGTTGACATTAGAAGCTTTAATTGAACATGTAGCCACGACTAAAATTCTTGAGCAAACAAGTTACCACACTCCCTGTCTTGGTTCACTGGTTGAAAGCCCTCACTCACCTTGAATTTATTCTCTGTTTGAATTTATTCTTTGTATTAGTCATTTAATTTTACGTTGAAGTAGCTAGGTTTTCTGCATTTTGAACAAATTCTCTCTGCTCAGAGAAAATCAATGACTTTGATGCAGAGAGACATGAACGATGACATGAGTAGAAACTAACACGAAGGTTGTTTGAGCTTAAAACTCAAAGTTCATGGATTTGAAAAATTGAACCAAGGTTGAAGACGACTGTGTTCTTCGCGCGCTTCAGAGGGAAATTCATTTTTTCTATCCAATCAGAAGGCGCCACACAACTATCTGTTGGAATATTTGATTTCCTTTTTCTTTTTAATTCATTTTAATTTCTATTTATTTTCATATTTATTTTAAATAGCTCTTTTATTATTTTTCACTCCAATTTTTTTCATAAATTATAACAAATATTTTCTATCACTTATCTTTTTTTTCTTCAGAATTTTAAAATGATTTTTTAGCATTTTTTGCTATTTTCTCTTCAGTTTCTTTTTAATTTCTATTTAACATTTTATTTTCAATCATTTTGAAACATTTTCATCCCAACTTTTGAGATCTCGTTACTTATAGTATTTGTGATTTTCTCAAATTTTGTTAGACATTTATTTGATGTTTTCATTCATCTTTTGAATTTTCCATTTATTTTCTTTTTTTAAAACCATTTAAATATTTTTTTGATTATTTTTGATGGTTTTTGGTTCTTAATATTGTTGACTTTGATCATATGTGATTGATTGATGCTTTATCTTGTTCAATTGGACTTTGGAATGATGCTTTGAATCTATGAACTTTCACCATTTCAAACTTATCATTAAATGATCATTTGATTATTTTTGATACTTTGGTTGATGATAAATTTATCTCATAACATCATGAAGAAGAATGATTGAAGTTGATGATATATAATACCCTGCCTTTGTGCTTGATCATCTCTCCTTCTCCATCCTCTTCTTCTTTTTTATTTTGTTTTGACTTGTGTTACATGTTTTAGGAGAATGATGTTTGTATCATTTCTATAACATGTATGACACACAAATTGTTATTGACCGATCTCAGATAGTTGTGACTTCTACATAAGTCCAATTAATAATTGCTTAACATAACATTAAATTTGTCCTGAATCGGTTGATTACTCATTAATACTAACATTGGCCTATTAATTGTGCTAACATTACTTTATGCACTTTACTTTTATGCTATTTACTTTATGTCATTTACATTTTGGCATTTTATTCTTGCTTTTAATTTATGCCCTTTATCTTTAGCTTTTTTATTGCTTTCTTTACTTCAAAAGATAAAAAAACATGATAAAATGGCTAAAACCCTAAAAAATTTAATCTGGTGCTTGAGGAATTTGTGTTACTATCCCTTTCTTGAGGAGTATTTTGGACATTGGACTTAATACTTCGTGCTTTCCCTTTCTTGGAGTGGTATCTGAGACTCTGTTCATCTGAGACTTTGTTCATCTCAGACTTTGTGATTCATCTGAGATTCGGTGATTCATCTGGACCTTTGATCTTTAATTCAAAACTTGACTTTATTCAGAGAAACTTTGATCTTTGTGGTCTTGTGGCTTTGTGTGGACCTTGTTATATTCATCTACTTATATGCTTATTCATCTTGTGGCTTAATCCATAGGGAAAA